TTAAGTCAGGGGCACCGTGACCTTCAGCTCTAATATCGGCGTTGGTTCGAACGGCTCACTCGCCAATGGTTCTTTAAGGACTTTAAACCGTAGGCCCAGTGTACGCATTTGGCTTGTGTGCACTTTAAAGAACCTGGTACATCATTCGAGAAGAGTAGGGGGTTACCCCGGTGTACTGGTCCATTAAGTCCCCTGTTGTTAAATGGATATGCCACGTAGGATAGTGATTAAGTTCACTTATTGGCATATCTTTGGCCCTCGTGCCTAAAGATATGAAATGAAAAATGAAATGGAGAGTCATGCACAATGTCAGGTAGTTGGTTCCAAAACTTTGGAGTATAGTAATAATAATAATGTTATAGTTATATAGCGCATTTTGCACATTGCCCCTATGCGCTTTTAATAATATAGGCCAAACGAGAAAATACAAATAACAATTAAAATAATAACAATAAAATAAAAAAAGTAAATCAAAAAAGTTTAAAAAATGCACATTTCTTTGGAGCGGCTACACATTTTAAAGAGGGGTTGTCAAATATTTTTGTTTGTTGATTCTATGTTAAGTTCCAACTGACCACCATTGAATTGGCTTAGCTAGCAAATACCTCCATAATGCATTGAATCTAATTCATTTTCATATTAAGGAAAGAGAGATTGGATGGTGAAAACCCATCTAACACAACTATGGAGCAGATCAGGATTAAGCTAAGAAGAATAGGTGGAAGTTTAAGTAGGTCCCAAGGATTCATAGATGTTTTATTAGAAAGACCAACTGAATGCGTAAGCAATAAAGTAGGTACAGAAGTGGAAGATGGTGCAACAAGAATTGACTTGGAGCAGCAGAAGCTGAATTCATTCACAAGAAGTCTTGTTAATGTAAGTTAGCAATGCATTATTCAATTGTTAATGTTGTGTATACCAGTGGCGGATCCAAGAATTTGAAGAAGAGGGGAACACATGCACACGCTAGGAGGTTTGATACCACCTCAGTCCCACCTGGTTTGAATATACAGTAGTATTATTTTTTCTCCATTTTTTGGGAAAATTTTGTGGGTGTGGGAGGAGATGGCAATTGGCCTTAGTCCATGATTCACCTGGTTTGAATATAGTATTATTTTTTCTCCATTTTTTGGGAAAATTTTGTGGGTGTGGGAGGAGATGGCAATTGGCCTTGAGTCCATGATTCCCACTGTATACAAAACACTTTATATAGATAGTAATCACAGATAGAACTGTTCACTGAATCTGGCATTTAATATCATACCATACCAAAAAAATATAAACATTTTTATTGCACTGTTGCCTGTTTCATGAGGCACTTTAAGTTCCTTAATCATCAGGTGCTGTGCTCTGTTATATTGCCGAGGCCTCCTCCTACTAGTAGTACTTGGTCGTAGCCCAGCGTAGTTAAGATATCATCGCACGATTTTTACCTGCCTGCTCCGACCAAAAAGTCAGTGACTGTATTCTCTCTCAAATGCTTTAAGAAATGTTTATTTCTTTGACGAATGTTTCAAAATAACATTACAAACAAGTAGTTCTAACACAATACAAATTACAATAGTTATTCATTGTATCCGTAATATAAAGACTGTACTGCTGATGTGTAGTTAATGCGTCCTGCAGCAGCACAAGTAAGCATACGCACAGCTAAATGTAAAATACGCACACAGTATACTGATCATATCACTATAGCAACCGATGACTGCTACAACAGTAGGTTATCAAAACTAACATTAAAAGACGGCGATTTATTATATAAACCAATTAGTAGAGCATGCATCGTACACTAGCGGAAAATTATTATACTCAGGTTAGATTTCAAAATGCATTCAAAAATTCACTTTGGGCCTTGCAGGCCCTCAGGAAATTTTTTCAAGCATTAAATCTAACCTTCATATAATCATTTTCCTATAATGTACTATGCGGAGCTCTACTATTTGCTTAATAAAGTATGGCATCTGTGATAATTTTAAATATACTGTACACATTAACACTGTGTAATCACTATTGTTATTGCTGCGAAGCAGCCAATTCATATTCTTGACAGCAATTTGACCTCTGAAAGGTCATTGTTTGTCAAAAAAAGGGCCTAAGACGACTGAAAAGCGGAGTTTCCTTCTTTCGTTCTGCCGGGTAAAATCAATTACTTTAGGCGACATTTGTAGACTAACCAACACGTACCTCTAAAAATCGCACATTTTAGGGAGTTTTGATCAATTCCAACAAAATTAGAATTAAAAACACCGGGGGGACAAGGGAAAAATATCCATCTTTGGAAAATCTTTTCCCACCCCTTGACAAATGCATCCTCTGAAAGTGCCTAAAATTCTCAAATTCTTTGTGCGCATTTCTTGTTACGGTAGGCCAATTTCCTCTATAAATTGCACATTTTAGGGAGTTTTCATCAATTCCGACGAAATCAGAATTAAAAACACAAAAATATTTTGCGCGCTTCGCGTGCTTTTTTTAGGGCTTTTTAAGGTTTATCCTTTTAAGTCATTTAAACACATAGGCCTAATAATAGTCCCAAACTCAAGAAAGACAAATTTAAGGTAGATCGTTTTAACCTTAAAGAAGGCCTCAATGTGTATTGATGGTGAAAGAATATGTTTATAATAAATAAAACCATGATGAAAATGCTTATATTTAGTTTCAAACACACGTGTGTGGCCTATATTATAAATAAGACAAACCCTATGTCGTATTGTTTTCTATATGGGGAGTGGGGTGGGGTGGGTATGGTAAATTACTAACCGGGAAAATAAATACCCACTCTGACCCAATACCCCTGTTACGCGCATGGTGTTGGCGCCAATGTGTGCCCTTGTGCGGACAGGGGATGTGGCCCCCCCCCCTCTGAAGCTGGAATTCTTGTTTTTGCAAAATAAATTGATGCAATTTGCTATTATAGGCCTAATCAATAAATTCCTCATCAACCGATATATCCTTAAACATTCTTGGAATTGACATAACATTACTGATGTTTCAAAGATAGGTATTTTCCCCTTGTCCCCCAGTGGTTAAGCCATCGGGCAGCATAGATCAAAGGAGTTATGACAGTTTTTGAAGTGGAGAAGGGGTTGCAGGGTGTTGTGAGTCTGGTCATTATGATATCTTCCTTTTTATTCTTGTCTTTACTTTTCTCTTTTTTTCTTTTTCTTTCCTTTTCTTTTTTTCTTCTTTCTCTTTCCTTCCCTCTCCCCTCTTTCTTTTCTCTTATTACCCAGCCCGGTACGATGGCTTGGTCAACCCGGTAAAAACTGTCAGGAGAGGGGCAGTTTTCTCCCTGCCCCCCATGCCTGTTACGACACTGGCTAACACGCCAATCATCCCCCCCCCCATGAAAAAAACTTTTCTACGCCACTGGCTGGTATTAGCTGCCTTCATCAAATGAACTGTTACTGTTGTAGCCATAACAGGAGTGTCCTCTGCAGGCCCCTCTGGTCATGAATGTAGGATTTTCATTAAATGTGGTCTTCTGATCCATATATCCACATCCATATTGCTTCTTTGATTTTCTTCTTTTCCTATGCATCCAAGACAGTTTTCTGTGTTTAATTTTGGATGTTCCTGTTATGGTCTCAAAAGTAAAATCTGCTGAACAAACATTGAAGCAGTTCGTTGCCTGACGAAGGATAGCCGATAGCAGTTGAAGTGTCACAAGTATGGCAGCTTCTTGTTTGTATTCTTTGGTTAAGGGAATAAATGAAAGTAGTAATCATCAAACATAAGCAATTAGTGTAGTAGTTTTCCATGCAGCAGCCCGAAAGTTTTAATACACTAATGGCTCCTAAAGGCATTATGGTTATTTCTGGGAAAAGGCTATAAGCCAATTTAATCTGTTAATATAGGAAATACCTACAAACAACGTTAGCTCAAGGCAGGGACGTAGCCAGGATTTTGAAAGGGGGGGGGGAGCCATTATGCAAATTACGTAGGACCTCGCGGCGGGGTCAAGGAGGCGAATCCCCTGTGAAGTAGCGCACTCTGAACGTTCTTAGGATTGTTTGAGAGGATAAATTGAAAATTGCAATAGACGCATTATAAATAAGCGCAAAAATTATTGTATAATAAATCAACAGTGGCAGATCCAGGAATTCAAAAGAGAGGTGAACCAGGGAGGGACTTTCACAGAACGAGGAACCACCCACCTCAACCCCACCATGGTTGGGGCTGAGGTAAGAAAATTTATGACTAGGGCATCTCTAGATGGCCAGAAATTACACTCTTGCACTTCAATTTGAATACATTTTTCTTCTTTTTTTTCCTTAAAAAAATGAAGGGGGGGGGGGCCTTAAATCCACCTCTGCTCAAAACATTCTTTATCCACTGCCAGAATAGTCATAATCACGAAAAATGGACGTAAAAAACCAGATCACATCCTAAAAATAAACAGCAGTCACTAAGACATACATCAGGAGGCGATTCAATGGAGTTTAATGTCATACCCAGGGAAGGGTACAGACCTGTTTTGAAAGGTGGAGGGGGAGGGCATTTTGTGAGTCGACAACCACCTCAGCCCCACCATGGCTGGGGGCTGAGGTGAGAAAATTTGAGGAAATGGTACCTTTCGAGATGGCCGGAAATGACACTTTTATATAGTAAAATTTATCATCATCACATTACCATTATAGTCAAAATGAAACGCCAACAAATTTCTCATGATCTTTTATCAGGGATCTACTTAATATCCAGGATAACTTAGGCCTAATTATAGCTTACTAAGCTTTAACTATATATACTATAGTATGATCAACAAATCACAACTTTTTTTTTTCACATTTAGCACAATTTTCTTCACTTTTTATTGCTATTAATATTATTATCAATTATTACTATCGTCATCATCATCATTGTTATTATTATCATTATTACTATTAGTAGTAGTATTATTAAACAAACATTAAAAGAAACTTGCAAAAGGATAAAAACGAAATTGAACCACAGTATCGCATTTCTATCTTAAAAGAACTGGCCTGAGATTTATGGATTTAAGATTTTTTTAAATCACGCTTAGGCCTATGTGTTCTATTAGGCCTATGTATTACGTGTACTGATGCATAATTACATGCTTAGAAGTATTCATTTTGAGTGATCCCAGGAAAGAATTTGTATTGGCTCAAGAACAAGCTTTAAAATTTTAACACTGTGTACAAAGGGGGGGAACCGCAGCTCCCACGGCTCCCTGGATCTCGGTTTCCCCCCACCCCCCGGATACGTCCCTGGCTCAAGGATGCTACATTACTTAGCCCAGCCGACTTATGCCTTCTCATTGGGTCTAACAATTTTTAAGGCTTAATATTTTGCCATGTATTGTGCTGTGAGCTTACCCCTAGAAATGACTTCAATATTTTGCTTCTTAAATTACCAATGAAATAATTAGGCTTGCAATTTATTATTTCTTTTAATAGCTTGTCAATCGAAAAATCAGAGTTGATCAAGTTTTCCAACGAAGGTACTGTAGGACTTTCTCTAATTTTACTAATTAGAAGTAATTTTTTAATTATTTTTTTGACTGTCGTAAATTTATAGTGTATGTCAATTTCACCTGTTAACCTGTGCTATACAGGGCCGGCGGAACGTTTTTCAAAGTGGGGAGGAGGGCCCACTTATAAGATGAATGGGAATATGAATCATGCAGATCTGGATTCAAATCAAATTTTGATTTCTAGATGGCGGGAAATGACTTTTCTCGACTTTTGAGCTAGGTGTCTAATGACTTTGTTCTTCAAAACTCAAGGTTTTCCCCCTCTTGAAAACGGTCAGGTAAACTTTCTAATTCTTATTACAGTAAATAGGCCTGATATGTGTGTAAACATACATGAAAAAAAATGAGTAGTTGCGTAGGCCTACGTTTTCTTTTTTCAATGAATCGATACGCTGCAAAGAAAAGGGGGGTCTGGGGATTCTCCCCCGGAAAAATTTTGATTCCTAGATGGCGGGAAATGAGCTTTTCCGACTTCTGAGGTGTCCTAATTACTTTTAAGTTCTTCAAAATTCAAGGTTTTCCCCTCTTGAAAACGTTCAGGTAATTTTTCCCATTGCTTTTAAAGTAAATAGGCCTTATGAGTGTATACATACATAAAAATTTTTTTTTTAAATGAGTAGTTGCATACGATTTTTTTTCCCATGAATCGATAAATCCCAAAACGAAAAGGGGGGATCTGGGGGTTCTCCCCTGGGAAAATTTTGATTCCTAGAAGGCGAGAAATGAGCTTCCCGACTTCTAAGTTGTCTTTTAATTACTTTTAAGTTCTTCAAAATTCAAGGTTTTCCCCTCTTGAAAATTATTATAATGAATCAATGAACCCAAAGAGAAAAGGGAGGTTCGGATTCTCCCCGGGAAAATGTTGATTTCTAAATGGTGGGAAATGAGCTTTCCCAATTTCTAAAGTATCTTTTAGCGATTTTAATTAAAGCTCTTTCAAAATTCAAGGTTTTCCCCTCTTGAAAACGGTCAGGTAATTTTTTCCTGTTGTTTTTACAATAAATAGGCCTTATGTGTGTGTACATACATAAAAATTTAAAGAAAATATGAGTAGTTGCATACAAATTTTTTTTCCATGAATCGATAAATCCCAACAAGAAAGGGGGTCCGGAAATTTTTGATTCCTAGAAGGCGGAAAAATTAGTTTTCCCAACTTCTGAGGTGTCTTTTAATTACTTTTAAGTAATTCAAAATTCAAGGTTTTCCCCCTCTTGAAAATGATTCAATGAATCAATGCACACCAAAGAAAAAGAGGGTCCGGGTTCCCCCGGGAAAATTTCCATTTCTAGATGGCGGGAAATGAGCTTTCCTGAATTCTGAAATGTCATTTATAAATGACTTTTTAATTTCTACAAAATTCAAGGTTTTCCCCTCTGGAAAATGGTCAGTTAAGTTTTTCTCATTTTTTATTTTATGTGTGTATACACATAAACAAATGAGTAGTTGCATGCGTATTCTTTTTTCCATGAATCGATAAATCCCAACAAGAAAGGGTGGTCTGGGTGTTCTCGCCCCAGGAAAATTGTGATTCTTAGATGGCGGGAAATGAGCTTTTTCGACATTTGAATTGTGTTTTAATGACTTTTATGTTCTTCAAAATTCTAATTTTCTTAAATGTAAAAAAAAATTCAGCTCACAGGTCCTTAAAAGGTAGGTCTAGAATTCTTTTTTTTTGGGCCCAAGGGAGGGGTCAGGACTGATGACCCCCTCCCCCAGATCCGCCAATGTGAATTGAGAGAAAATGTAACTCGGTCGGGGACCGGATAAACATTCTCTTTCCCATCCTTCTCCTCCTTCTTCCCTCTTCTTTTTTTTTGCATTTCTTTCCGATCATACAAAAATCTCCAGACATTATATATTTTTTTCCAAAAAGTGGGGGGCCCGGGCTGCCCCGGTTCCGCCGGCCATGCTATATACCCCGTGTAAGTAGAGCAGGGAATTATAAATTTGGACTTACAACAAGTAGCAAATGTATGGGTCAGAAGTTAAGTTGTCATTAGTTTTGTCAAAGGAAGTGGACAATTTTGATTTAGAAGGAAGATGTTTTTCTTCTTTTTTTTTTTCATCAGTTGCATGAGGCTCTTTTTAGATCTTAAAGTACGTTTTTCTTGTCTTTTCAAATTTGAGTTCTAACCCAAACCTACAGAACTAATAATAACTAAATCACTGAGCATGAACATTTTCTAATTAGAAGAAAATACAGTAGTATCTAGATTTCATAAGAAATATGGAAAATATCTAGTGGTATTAATATGTAGATAATACAATATTAATATGCCAAATAACAATGATATCATTAATGATAATGAGAGAATACTCAATTATTATCTTATCTGCAGATTTCAAGATAGACAACAAGAACTGAGGTAAGTTAAGATAGTAAAGTGATTAAAAAAAAATGAAAGAAAACAACAATGTGAAATAAAGCTTGTAATGTTCTAATACTTATGCTAGTGTTATTAATTATTTTCTGTATTATTAATAAGGTTGATGTAAATGCCATTTTATATATTTAATAATACAGCTTTTTAATACACCAATTACTTCTGAAAAATATCTATTTCATTGTTGAACTTTAAACATGTATGCATTTGCTAACTTGGTTATTCTATCTGTTTTGTAGAGCATTGGTGGAGTGCAAAATCATCCAGTGTGGTAAAATGGAGTTGGAGAATAAGGTTGAAAATGTAAGCCTGAGAATTTATTTATGTATTCTTTAATTGTTTGACAGATTTATTTTATAAAATTATTATTTACTTGAACAATATTTCAGTTGAATTGCTCATTTTACAAAGCTCAATTAACTTCCAGTGACACTGAGGGAAAACAATTAACAATTTACTGTAAACATTCCTACTAAAATAAATTTCAAACTGTATTAATATTCATCTAATTTGTCTGTTAATTGTTGAGGAACATATTTTCTTAGCTTAAAACCCCTTAAAATATACAAGGTATGAGATCCAAATATTAAAGTTATTGTTCATTAGCTAAACTTAATTGCCTTTTAAATTGATTGATTGATTGATTGATTGATTGATAGATTGATTAGTCAGTCTATCAAAAGGTGAGAATTTCCTTGCCTACTAATCCAAAAATGCATGAAAGGTGAAAATACTGTTGTCAAAAGAAATGCATCTCTCAGCAAGGAAATTGTTATTGTATTTTATAAATTAATTTCTTATTACTTCGTTTGATTGCAAAAGTAGTATGAACATCCATTCATTACATTTTATTGTTTTTTATTACATTATGTTTTTCTTTTATTTTGCATTAGTTTTCCACATCCATAAAACGGTTGGAGCCTGTTGTGCATAAACTTTTCGTAAACAGCTTCAGTGAGTAAATAGATGGAGTTAAAACAAGAGGTGGAACATCTGTCACTTACTGAAGCCAGGAACTACAGATTGGTAACACTGATCAGCATGAGTTAAGATTATATAACAATAATAACTAGATTTGAGCTCGTCACTGAGGACGAGTTTGGTGATCCGCCGTACTTTGACCCTCATAAAGCGCGCGCGGTGCTGATTGAAAAGTTTCATAATATGCTAAAGTATGCTGTAATTAGTTTTTTAAAAAAGAATAATTTTGAGCATTTTAAAAGATTTATGCATGCGTACACGTACGTCTTGATGCCCGTGAGCACTGTAATGGCACAAAGAGTGACTCCTGATATGAATACAGTGTCAGGAACACAAAATATGTAACAAAACGTGATTTCCAGCTTCAGTACGTGCTGTGTGCGTGGAAATGAACGTATGGCGCGTAAATATGGAAAGTTTTGGAATGCTGAAAATGATCCAAAACGTTCTTTAAACTATCTGAATAGTGATATTGAGAATTTTCAAATTTTAACACACGCACACGTCACAATGTGTGCGTGTACAGTAATGGCGCATGAAATTAAACATTGTCAAGTGTTTTTAAAACCGTCTGTTAGTTGGTAATGCCACACAAATTTTCCCTTCATATAACCTATATATATGTCTGATAGCGTCGAAATACAGTCTGCCGCCCTCTCTGTGTTCTATTTTTTACTTTTAAGAATGAGAGATAAAAGGGCTCTAAAAATTCATTCTTTTGATAATGCTGACGTGATCAAAATGAAAAATAAAGGGACACGTCTGAAAGAGAATTGATTTAGCTATAACATACTCACAGGTTCAAAAGAGTATAAAAAGTAATGTAAAATTAATAAATAAAAATTCAGTTTTTTCTTAATTCAAATGGCAATATGATGACGTAACAATGTCCGATCAGCCATTATGATCTATAAAATTGTATCTACAACTCATGTGCTTACAGAATATGTAATAAAAATTGGGGGTCACCTTTTATCCCAAGGAACTATAACTGATTAAAAATATTCATGGTTTTATGCATATATAAATGTTGACGTTTTGAGGAAAGAAAGATGAGGGGGTCAGAAAAAACATTTTTTTGACCATGATGACGTCATCAAAAAGTAAAAAGAAGTCACATATTTGAAAGAAAATTGTCTCAGCTATAACATACTCAAGTTGGAAGACCATCGAATAAAGGATAAGCAAGATACACTCAAATGCGCATTTTCAAAAATGACGTCATCAATAAAATTCAGTTTGTTGAATTTAGATGGCAATATGATGACGTCACAATGTCCGATCAGCCATTATGATCTATAAAATCATACTTACAGCTTATGTGCTTTCACAATATTTAATAAAAATTGGGGGTCACCTTTCATCCTAAGGAACTATAATTGATTTAAAATATGCCTTACTTTAGCATATTTTCACTGAATATCGGCACAAATCCCCGCAAAGATACCTATGTTTGATGCGCACGTACGACATTGCTATTGGCCATAAGATGACCGGAAACAATGGAAATTTGTGAAAACAATTTCAGGATCCCAAAATATGTAAAAAAAAACTAATTTCTAGCTTCCATACGTGCTGCTCAAGTAAAAGTGCGCGCGCGTAGTGGAAAATTACGAAAAATTTTGAAATGCTCAAAATGGCCTGAAATGTGCTTTAATTTAGTCAAAAAGTGATTTCGAGCATCTTGAAATTATGACGCACGGTACATTACATTCAACATTCACCTGAAGTTTATGCTCACTTAATACGATTTTGAAATGGCAATTGGTTAGGCTGATATAATCGATAATGTAAAAACGCAAAATTGAGCGTAGACAACACTTCCCCTATTATTATGGGCTATATTTTCTATGATTGTAAAGGCTATAAGATATTAGAAAATAATTTATGTACAGTATACTCTGAATAACAGTTAAGTTTGTCTCTGCAGTATGTTCTTTTTATGCCATACTTTTGTATTGACCTCCCTGTGTGTATTGAAATATATGACGTATCGATATAATAATTATATATAGGCTGCGATGCCCGCAGGCAAAGTGCAGGCAAAGAGAGCACTGTCCGCAATCGGTACTGTAATTTACTGGTAATAGTATTTCTAGAACCTTTCCTTTGTAAAATCCTCACTGAATTTGTACATTTACTGCTTTGTCGAGCACAAGAGTTGACTTCAAAATTGAAGCAATTAACTAAAAGAACAAGGTAGAAAATAAACATGAAAATATATAAATATTACAGTGTTTAAAAATTACTTTTTAAAAGTACAGTACAACATCACTGGCCATTACATTCCTGCCTGCTCTCAAATTTTCTTGTAGTTTTTTGTTTTTTTGTACCAGTAGTTTATTTTATTGTTTTATTTATTTTTATGAAATGGTGTTTGCCCTACCTGATGTGATTTCATACTGAATACTCAGTATGTTTCCAAAGAGCTTGCAAAAAACATTGCAAGTGCTTCGGGTGGTAATCGAACCCACGACCATGTTTCAAATTCTTATTGGTATTTTTAACCTGGAAGTCATAAATCCCTAACTTGAGCCAGCATCACCACCTTAGCAGTGCACGAGTAGAGCCGAGGCTTATATTATCCCAGGTTGAAACTACTGGAGATGCGCATCTGTGTGTACACGGTTGTGGTGGCATCGGGAGTAGGCCTATCATGTTCACGGTTTTTCTACCATTTTTGGTTGCCGTCTCACTTCATTACCTGAACGGCTTTGTCTTTTTGTTTTGTTTTTTATTCTATTTTATTTATTTGTTTTTTTCCGTTTTTAAATATGATTGGGAGTCTGACACTGTCAGCGCCTTAAGAGGATTTTTTTGTGGAAGGCGCTCTACAAATATTCTACCATTACCATCATCACTGTAATTTTAATTTTTTTGACTTACATTAATATTAAAGATTTTTAAGTAAAAATTGGTAACTGTTCAGGTAACCAATTCTGTTAGGCATTGTCATCATTGACTTCAGTAAGTTGGAATTCGTTGTGTTTGGCTGTTTTTTACCTTAAAGAGAAGATGCATCTGTAGACAAACTGGTTACTTTCTTCCACATCTCGGTTCAAGATAGGTTTTTGTACAAGAGGGGTCACAAATGCAATACCATTGGTCAGGCCTTCTTTGTCTCTTATTCTACTTTTGGTCTTGTTCTATTTTAAACAGAAACCAGGCTTTAAAGTCTATACTGGTGCTTCTTACAAGGTCTGAAGTCCGTCGCCATTTTTGCCTGTTTAAGCCGTCTTGTTTAAGTAGTTTTGTATGCATTTCTGAGTACCATGTGTATATTTCCATCCCCTCAACTTTTTGTCTTTATCGATTTGGCCAGGCCTAGGCACACATGAATATCAATTGCTTATCAAGATGTTTTGATCTCAGCAGGATTTTCTGAATGTTGGCTTTAGAAAGGCAACAAATTAATTATTAAGGTTATGACATTTAAATTTATATTTATTCCATTTTCAGTTTTAGAGATGTTACATTGAACTACTTTCCTGTTCTCAAACATTCTTCTTTATTATCCAGGTCTAGAATGCCAAACTTGTCTACCATGGTGTACCAATATCTCCCTTCCATCGTCTTTCAATTCACAAAAGTCAGCCTGTTACAGACCTTTTCCTTCCATTCCATCCAATTCTAAAATACTTCGTCATTCCTTATTTATTTTCACATCAACCAACCTTTTGTAGTCATTTTGTCTCAGTTCATTGAAGTGCCTATTAACATAGGGCAGTGGTGTGGAAGGCTAATTATGAGGGGGGAAGCCTACAAATGAATGGAGATGTGAGGCATTCCTTTGTTAGTCTTAGAAGTAGCTGAGGGCCAGCATTTTATTTAAAAAAATTTTTTTTTTTTTTTTTACTACAAAAAATGTTTTTTTTTAATGATTTAAAAAGGCTGGAATAGGCTTACCTTGCAACGGTAGGCAATGCAACAGTGTTATGCGATCGTTTTGCTCTTCAATATGGAAAAAAAAAAAAAAAACTTTTCCTATTGACTTACCTATTTTTTGGATTTTCCCAAAACGTGGTCAACACAAGAATTTTTTTTCAGCTATAGAGAGGGGTATGCGGTCTCTAGGACCTACTGTAATAGTGGAGTAAAATCCCAACCCCATGATGCATAAGCTAATTACATTGAGGTATGGGGGTCTAGGTTTTGGTCAGAGTGAAATCCCCTCTTTATGATCTTAGTTTATTTAACGTCCCTACCCCATGACGCATACAGTAGTTTGCCAGGGTCACTAGGACATTAGTTTAGTAGCAAATTTTGGTTAGTGTGGTGTATATTTAGTGGACAATCATTAGTACAGTAGTATAATTAAAGGGAGATTTTGATTCGTGTGATGATGTCAACGTAGAATGGATTCGCTCATCCGTGACCATTCTGCATTACCTATAAAAAGGTATATTCGGGCCACACTCCGTCCTAGAATTTAGACAACTTAACGTCCTTACATGTGCTAATGGGCTCTATGTGACTTTATTACATTCTAGGTCTTACCGTCATCGTTCAATCAAAAGCTTCTTTATATTAAATATTATAGTTTTGAAATGTTTACATTTAATCACATTTATTGTAATAATTTTTTTAAATTTTTTTATACTTTTTTTGTTATATATTGTTTGTATATATATATATATATATATTTGTTTATATAGTAAATATTCCTTATGATATGTAAGACACAATTGTAAACAATGCCATTTGATTGAGTGTATGGTCTATATGACAAAATGGGGCATTTCAGTGTACTGTGCAAAATCATGTAGTTATCGGTAAATTGTTTATCAATACATAGGCTACTACATATGAATTTGTACAGTATAAAAAGAAATTTGAAAGTCTGACAGTGTGGTGTTTGATCATAAATTCTATAGGCTTACAACAATCAACAGTAGGTGTTTCTACATCAAATTTGTACAGTTAATGACATCTGTAAGGGTAGTGGTGTAGGACACAAATGGAGACTACAAATGGAGACTGGGACATTGCCTCCTCCATTTTTTTTATATAAATACAGACCCTTAGGCTTTTGATCAATTGTATGTCTTATATCTTATGTTAACTTTTTAAAGATGTATTGGCCCATGCAAAATACAAAAAAGGAAA